TTCAAAATAATAACACAAGAAAGTATAATTAAAATGAAATTTTTATCAAACTAAAAAAGGTATAAAAAAAATTAAAAGAAAAATATATTTGATAACTCCTTCATACCATAACAATTGTTATTGTAACAAATGGCATAAAGTTTTCTGACCACTGTTGTGTTTTTTGTGCCCCAGACAGCCTTAGGAGCTCTGTCTTGAGTGAAACATACTGTTAGCAATGGATATGGCAAACATAGTGTGGTTATAATACAATTATTATACATTCTCTTAATTCCTGAAAATCCCTAAAGGACCAGATTAAGAAAATATTGTTAAAAAAATATGGTAATAATAATAATTATTACAGACAAGTTGAGGAACCCATCCTTTGTCCAGGTTATGAATTTTTTAAAATGTGGGGGTGGAAGCTATGATAAATAACACAAACATCATGACTTTCACACAATTTATTTATAACATGTTATTACAATATTTGTTATTACCTCACCAAAAGTTTTGTATGAGCTTTAAGAACTCAATATGTATTTACTTACATGATATACACTGTGCAATGGTCAGGGTGACTTTGTAGGAAGAGGTAGTGGCAGTAGGGGTGATTTCTGTTACCCACTTTCAATACCCAGCTTTTAATTTCCTTCCACAGTGTTTCACTTGATTACTTTATTGATGGTAATTGTCTTATGGGCCAAAGTTGAATGATCATGGGTCAAAGTAGGAAGTAAGTATAGCTCAAGAAACAGCTCTTTATATCAGCCTTATTGTGGCTAATGGAGTAAAGAATTCATCCGAGTTTATGTATTATTACAATAATGGCAGCCATTTTTTTCATTGGATTCTTCCATTGAGAGTGGTAGCACACACTCTGAGAAATACAAGACATCTGTGTGCCCTTCACTTCACATGTATGTCATGTTATAGAAAATTTATTTTTTCGGTGTAAGGATGTGATGCCATCTATGAATATAATTAATGTTAACTTATGTCGAAGATAATAAATGCTCAATAACAGCAATAATGGGGATAGGGGAGTTGTGAACCCCATTAACATACCCTTTGTTCCAAACTATCAACTCACAAGTTTGGTTGAAATTGGCCCAGCAACCCACTAAT